TCTAAAATTTACTACTTTAAATTGTGTTTTTAAAATTTTTTGTGGGTCATTTTACAACCAAAAAAATATCACTTTTGTAGGTGTTTTTATCACTATTGTGGATATTTTTATCACTATTGTAATAACTATTTTTATTATTTTTTTTGGTAAAATTTTTTTTTATCATTTTTCTTCGATGCAACAAAATTACCACTTTTCTTTAGTACAAAAATATTTTTGTAGTTAATTTACCACTTTTGTAGGTTTTTTTATCACTATTTATGAGTATATTTATTACTGTTGTGGTAATTGATGATACATAAATTATGTTTGCACATCACTTGTCAAATAATTAATGCAGATAATAAAATAGAAAGAGACATTCAACACGAGCAACACACAATTTAAATAGTTCGATTATGGTGACCTACTCCACTGTGGAGGATTAATATAACTTAGGTATTTTATTGTTGTAGTGTGTAAGGAGATCAGATAAGAGTAATGAGAGTTTAGGTGAGGTACAAGATGTGAGAGACATCAGAGTGATGCCATATGTGAGAGATTTGTGAGATGCCCCCCCCCCCCCATTTGTAAGTATGATTTATACTTTATAGTCGACTCCTAACAGATTGAGGCAGCTTATCAGTGACTAAAAGACTAATTTGGTGGTGATAGCGTCATCTTTGTAAAGGATGAGACTGTTGCGGAGCTCCTTTCAAGATCAGGTCTTAAGATAGCGCAATTGACTTTCTTGTTTCTTACTCCAATGTGAGGTGGATGAGATTCTTGGGATAACACTATCTACTCCTTGACGACGTGATCTTGAAATCTTAATGAGTTTGACTAAGAGTGAATTTCTTTTGGGTTGGACCGATTGAGTTTTGTATAGATGGATTCTTTATTCAAGTTAAGCCCACAACCTAAGTTGGGTCTTAGTCATCAATAATTATTTTTATCACTCTTTTAAGTACTACAAAAATGATAAAAATACTCACAAATATAATAAATTTTGATCTAGTGTCGAAATTTTATTTTTTAGTACCATACTCAAGTCCAAACAAATATAAGCATTAAATGTAATATGATATTGAAGTCTTAATTAGGTATCAACACATGACTATGTCTCGTAGAATTGAATAGCTGTCGTTGAAATGTCACAAATCAAAATTCTAAGGAAAATCTTTTTCTTTTGCAGTTTGGTACAACCAAAGTCTTTTTTTTAATGATACAGCTTCCATATTTATTTTCACGTAACCCAAAAGTCATTTTTTTTTCAAGTTACTTATTACTAAAAATTATTTTATACAAAAGTCCTTTCAATGGATCGGATTTTAATCCAAATTCGAATTTGAACCCATTTAAACGAATATGAATCAGATTTTTCAATCTATTAATCTAATCCGATCTGAATCTGATTAGAGTTGTCTAAACAAATTCAAATATAGATTTATAATAATTTGATCCGTTATTAATTCGATCCGAATAAAAAAATATATTATATAAATAAATATCACACATATATTATACTTATACTGAAAAATAAGAAAAAATAGAGTGAATATTATAATGTATGATCCACTTTTTTATTTATTTATTTATTTTTGGTTTTTCTCTCTTGTTTGATTTTCTCTCTTATTTTTACTTCAATTTTTCATTTTTTTTTTCTCTTTTTTTAGTTCATTATCTAAATTTTTATTGTTAATTTTGTTGTGTACATGTGGTTTTGGTGATAATCAGAATCGGATCAAAATTTCAAATCGGATATCCAAAAATTAACGAATTCGAACATGGATTAAATTTTTTAAATCTGTCAGATAATTAGTTTAGATCAACAAAAACTTAATCAGATTTGAATTCGGATATAGGTCAATCTGTTCCGTTCACAAGACTAAATGTATATGACGAATAGGAACAAGCAGAGCACGTCACAAAAAATATCGCTATCAGTAGAAAGGTACGTACGACGATCCGTAAATAACAATTAAAATACTGTTAAACTCAACTGAATCCATATACCAATTAAACTAAAATTTATAAAATTACTCACCAAAAAACACCACAAAATTCTTTAAGATTACAATTTTATTGGGTTTCAAGCATGGAGTTCGAAATCAAATAAAAGTACGAGGCGTAATATGAGATTGAATTCATAATTTAGGGGTCAAAATATAATTATATGTCTAATATAATTGAATAATTGCTTTTGCTGTGTCATGCATCAAAGGTCTAAGAAAAATCATTTTTTTTTCCAGTTTGGTCCACCCAAATTCATTATTTTATAATAAAGCTCCCCATAATTATTTTTCAGGTAAGCCAAATGTCATTTTTAAAGTTTTTTTATTATTAAAAAATTATTTTGTACAATAATGACTTTTAATTTTAGTGGTTTTCACGTGAGGTCAATGTGCATTACATGTAGTGACGAAACAGAGCACGGCACGAAACAGGGAAAGGCTACGGTCCAACTGCCATGAATGATTTTTTGATTTATAACTCGTAAAAAACACGATCGATGAGTCCCGTCAATGAAAGTTATAATTTATAAAGGAGAGAGTTATGTCTCTGTGAATTTTTTTTAAAAAAATATAACTTGATTATTAAAAAAAATAGAGTAATGCTATTAAAATTTAAAAAATTAATTTAATTTGTTGATATAATGATATATCAAGTGATGAAGTCTCAATAAAAAAATCTAAGATTTATGGTCACAATAACACTATCGATAATGTCATTTGAAACTAATTTGCTTACCTACTATTATAATTATTAGATTACTTGTAAGTCATAACAAAAACTTGGGTCTATTATTAATTTAATAGTTATGAATGATTAGGTATGCAAATGAGGTCCAGGTAGCATTGCTCTAACACTATTTGACCACACTACTACCATATCATTAGGTCAATAAATTATGATAGTTTTTTAGGTTCCAATAGTATTATTCTTTAAAATAATAATTTTCGATATAGTATCATTTTTTTTTTTTGGATACCAATTTTTTTATTAATTTGTTTTTACGGTTAGGGTGTCTGAGCCAGTTTACAAGCATCTAGACTAATCTTTTTTTTGATTTAAGCAAAAATAGATCATCCACACTAAGATTAGAGTATGCATAAATGATAGATCTTCAAGTATAACTGATAATTGAGCTGAATTTTGCGAACTTAAACCGAGTGTATTGAGCTCGTTTTATAAACGAGTCAAAAAAATTATTCAAATTCTATTCATTTAGAAAATAAGCAAAATTTGAGTTCGAGTCCAAGCCCATGTAGCTCGCCTATTTTCTATATAACTGGCTCGAGTTTTATGAGCTTGAGCCAAACTTTTTTAGGTTTGTTTTCTAAACGAAATTAAAAAATTGTGAAAATTAGAATTAAGGATACTATAGGAAACCCGTTTGACATGAAGGACAGACTCGAACTTATTGGGTAAATAAGGACATATGATGTGTAATTTTTAAAAATACCTATTATATCCTCTAGTACAATAGGACGTCAACGTTGCTTCCACAATCGACGAGAAATTGTTTCTCACTACTCATAACCTAATCTTTTTCGATCCTCCAGATCCGTTAGCTTCTTCGGCTGCCACCATGGTCAATTGCTCCACCGCTATTGCCACATTGGAATCAAAATCTAAAGAACAAAGATCAAACACCACCAAAGAAGAACAATTAGTGGACTCAACAACTTTTCTTGGTTTTAGGATTTGTTTACCCGATTTTTCTACCTTATGTGGCTCCCACAAATTGACATGAGTTTTTTCGCTACTTTTACTTGTTTTGGTGACATTTCTTCAGTTTGTTTGTTATGTTTAAATGGTGTTTGATAAAATGCATCATCTAAGAGTTTTATTGTTTTTTGTACAAAGATTTTTTAGATCCCCACTTTTACTTGGTTGTTTTGATATATTGATCTTAAATTTGTTTTGATATGGATAAAAAAATTATGTGATTTTTTTTTTAAAACATATGAACCGTTCTATTAGTAGTTATAGTTGTTGTTGTGATCATGTGACTGTTATCGTGATTATGTGGTTGTCTAATTCACATTATTGTCTAATTTCATAGGATTTTGACAATAATTGTGATTATTATTGCTATAACGTGGTTGTTATTATAATCATATTATTGTCTAGTCCACCATCATTTTGTTCTTCAGCTTTATCGCCTTTTATAATATCTCCATTTTCAGCTATTGTCATTTACACTCCACTCGCACAGACATTATTGTTAATGTGATTTTGTTACGATAACAGTGACTATTATTGTTATTACTATTATTGTGTCGTTATTGTTACTCCATCTTTGCTATTATCTATTTTATAATATAGTTATTTATTTCATTAAAAATAAATTAGTCTTTATATTTTTAGTTTTTTTTTAAGTTTTAAAAAGAACAGTGTTATCAGAATCGGACTGGACGGCCAGTCGGACCGGTTCAACCGTGAACCAGGACCCTAACCGGTCCGGTACCTTAGTTGAACCACTTAAGGAAGCGAACCGGCTAAAACCTGAAAAACCAATTTTTAAAAATTAAATTACATAAATAAATTTTTTTGCCCTAAATCATTAAATAGTTGATTTTTTTTAACCTTATTTTTGAAAAAAATTATAAATGACACCCCTTTTTTTTCTTTATAATTTACTTGAACCTCTTTACTTTACTTTAAAATACAATAACTCCCACTTTGTTACTTAATTTCATTAATTTTATGGCAAATTTTATGTATTTTATACATATTTTATATTTTTTAGCTAAATTATTAAGTTTTATAATTATTATATATATTTTATAATTTTTTTATTATATGACCGGTCCGACCAATTAACCCAACGGTTAAACCAATAAACTATTAATCCGGTCCCCTTATCGGTTCGATGACCGATCCAATTATGATAACATTGAAAAAGAACACGTATGTCCTTTTTCTTTCAAAAATTCAGAAGTGTGGATTGATTTTAAAAAAATACTAAAAAATTATTCAAACGTAAAATTCGATTTGAGTCTTACCCGAGGCTGAGTCGTTGTTCAGTTATCTGCCGAATACTCTGGCCCCAAGAATATCCCCACAAAAACAATGCTGGTAGTGGAAAGGAACGCATGCCAATGGGGAAAATATCTACCAGAGCAAATCTGTTCCCCCAATTTCTCTCCCTTCCCAGCCAAACCCTAATTTTAGTCCCCCATTTCGTTTCATCATCTACACACTGGTGATTCTTTAATCCTTTTTATTCAGAACATGTTATATCATCTCCTGCATATTTATGTATCTACGGTTGAATTTATATAGTTTTATCCTTTTTGTTTTACCGGAATTTTTCCGATGTGGTTGTAAACTTGGAAATTAACAAGTTTGATCTTGAATTATCTGTTTTTTTCTGCATAACATAGCGTTTTCTCAGTTTTGTTTTTCACTAGAGTTAATTTGTTTACAATTTTCATTCCATTAACTTGAATCAGTGGAATTAAATGGGAATTTTGTTCCTGCCGAATTTTTCACTCTCATCAAAATGGGTAAATTGAATTTTTTCTTCTTGTTATTCAGATTTACAAATTATTGGTTTCTGATTCATTTGCCTTTTTATTTTTTTTTTATTTTTTTTTTGGGGGGGGGGGGTGTTTGTTTGTTTGAAGGTGTTTGCTTTGTGTTTTAGATTCAGCTTTCTCTTTAATTGTGCCAAAGAAAGTAATTTATGATATGAATTATTTTATTTTGTCTGTTGCAATTTCCTGCCAAATATCATGGGAGAAAAATATGGAGTTGGACCAAAAAGTAGAGCACTTTCCAATTCCATGTTTCATGTTTTATGCTTATTTGGTTTCTGTCCACCCGTTGATTAATTCAAAGCCATTGAGAGTTAGAGAAGAGAAATACTCATTGCTAATTTTTTGTTTGACTATATGGGCAATATAGGGAACTATTTTCACTTTTGTCCAGGGCTGATATTATACTTTTTAACAGAAGGATTGTGGCCACAATGGGGGTTGATCCTTTGTTCGAGTTTTCTTAATAACTAACTTCACCAGTTTATCTAATATTCTACAATTTTTTGACATGAATGAGGTTTTCTTTTATTGATTCACTTGCGATAATCTCTATTACAAAAGTTGTTGTGCACCTTATTGTTCTGTCTATGACTATGTGGGGTCATCTGCTAGTATGTTTATACATATTTTCATGTTTGAAACAAGGCTATTTATTTATATGATGTTAAAGTGGATGTTTGCTAAAAGGAAAGTTTATTAATCCTTCTGAATTATTGGACAATTGTGTGGCCATTACAATTCAAATGAGGTATTGAATCTCGCAGCTTTCCTTCTCTCCTTATACTTGCTGTTTTGAGCTCATCTTCATTGTCTATGGTTTGAATTAGGACCAACGTGGTATTGTGACCCAAGAACTAGAAAAAAGGCTTGATGCTATTGGTTTCTCCCCCAACTGGAAGGAAGTTTGTTTTAGATGGGGGCTATATTGAGTCTAAACAATGCCAAGGCGAGAACAGGTGAACTCTATGAGGTTTTGCAGAGTGAAACTTGCAAGAGACAAAGGACATCATCAAGCTTTTGGGAGGAGAACCCTCGACTTATTCCCAGCCTTCCTGACGAGATATCAATACAGATTCTTGCCAGACTTCCCAGGGTTCGCTACTTGGATGCAAAGTTAGTGTCAAAGAGCTGGAAAGCTGCTATTTTGGGATTTGAACTTTATAAGTTGAGAAAGGAACTTGGAACTACGGAAGAGTGGCTTTATATTTTGACCAAGATTAATGGTGATAAGCTTTTATGGTATGCTTTGGACCCACTATCTAAGAAATGGCAAAGGTTGCCACCAATGCCCAATGTTGCCGTGGAAAATGGATCTAAAAGAGGCTTGTCTGGCCTTCGCATGTGGAATATAGTGGGATCAAGTATTAGAATTGCAGATGCCATAAGGGGTTGGCTTGGAAGGAAGGATGCATTAGATCAAATTCCATTTTGTGGTTGTGCTATTGGGGCTGTTGATGGGTGCCTCTATGTGCTTGGGGGATTCTCTAAATCTTCAGCCTTGAGATGTGTTTGGCGTTATGATCCGATCCTAAATGCATGGAGTGAAGTAAGTCCTATGTCCATAGATAGAGCTTATTGTAAGACTGGGGTTTTAGACGACAAGCTTTATGTTGTTGGAGGTGTTAGTAGGGGCCGGGGTGGACTGACTCCCCTTCAATCTGCGGAAGTATTTGATCCCCATACGGGCTTGTGGTCCCAAGTCCCCAGCATGCCATTTTCAAAGACTCAGGTGCTGCCAACTGCTTTTCTAGCTGATTTGCTCAAGCCTATTGCAACTGGAATGACATCATACAGGGGGAAATTATATGTTCCTCAGAGTTTATATTGCTGGCCATTTTTTGTTGATGTTGGAGGAGAGGTTTATGACCCTGAAACAAATTTGTGGGTTGAAATGCCAATTGGCATGGGAGAGGGCTGGCCTGCACGACAGGCAGGAACAAAGTTGAGCGTTATTGTCGATGGTGATTTATATGCATTGGATCCATCTAGTTCCTTGGATAGTGCTAGGATCAAAGTGTATGATAACTTAGATGATACTTGGAAAGTGGTTGAAGGAGATATCCCTATTCGTGACTTTACGGATTCAGAATCCCCATATTTACTTGCTGGTTTACTTGGGAAACTTCATGTGGTCACTAAAGATGCCAATAGTAACATTGCAGTAATGCAGGCTGATAGGCAAAATGATTTAGGTGCCTCCACATCCACTCCTGCTGATAACTCTTCCGAAGAACTTTCTGTATCTGTAACTGGGTCGGAAACAAATATTTGGAAGGTCATTGCAACAAGGACTGCTGGTTCTGCAGAGTTGGTGAGCTGTCAAACCCTTGATATATAGAAGTACTGCACGTCAGAAGGCTGCACTCTTCTAAGTTATCCTGTGTTAAAATATATATGTAATTAAGTTTTCGATGGCTATGAGGTTAAAGAACTTATATGGCTATGTGTCAAGTAATGTTTGCGATCTGTTGCATATCTGGTGCACAAGTAAATTCACATTCCAGTATTATTCGCGGCAATCAAGCAGAAAATATGTAAGCATGTTTCTGTCATCTTTTCCCCTTCCATTTGAAACAATGGCTTGTCCTTTTTCCCGGGAAGTGTTACAATGATTTTTCTGGTGCTGCTTGCTTTCTTTTCTAGCTCTTACCCTGCTTGCTCTCTGTTTATCTGGAAAACTGTCTCTATATGCACTGCACATGCTGCAAAATAATATTTGATCATTGGAACTACTCTATGACTTTGGTTGGTGATGCATTCTACACCCACAAGTGAATTTCACATTACATCTCACATTCAGGAAACTTGGCACCATGGAATCTATTATATTATTTCAGTGACCGATGGGATCTTTCTGTAGTGCTGCTGTTTTGTGGAGGGTGTATGGACGCCTCGTCCGTAGTATCATTTTGCTCTATATTTTTCTCTTCACATTAATAAAATTGTTGTCTTTTATAAAATAAAAAATTAAAAAATAGGTCATATTTCTTCACTGAATAATGGCATTGTTGGTAGAACGAATTTTCTCCAGTTGAATAGCAAAGATAGAAGTCATCATCATCACCTGTTTGTTTTATTAGGTTGTATAAAGGAAGTAAACCAGTGCTAGGGTTCTATAGAAGTCATCCGGACACTCATTGCTGAAAATGCTTTTGNTTAACTATTCTATGACTTTGGTTGGTGATGCATTCTACACCCACAAGTGAATTTCACATTACATCTCACATTCANGGAACTACTCTATGACTTTGGTTGGTGATGCATTCTACACCCACAAGTGAATTTCACATTACATCTCACATTCAGGAAACTTGGCACCATGGAATCTATTATATTATTTCAGTGACCGATGGGATCTTTCTGTAGTGCTGCTGTTCTGTGGAGGGTGTATGGACGCCTCGTCCGTAGTATCATTTTGCTCTATATTTTTCTCTTCACATTAATAAAATTGTTGTCTTTTATAAAATAAAAAATTAAAAAATAGGTCATATTTCTTCACTGAATAATGGCATTGTTGGTAGAACGAATTTTCTCCAGTTGAATAGCAAAGATAGAAGTCATCATCATCACCTGTTTGTTTTATTAGGTTGTATAAAGGAAGTAAACCAGTGCTAGGGTTCTATAGAAGTCATCCGGACACTCATTGCTGAAAATGCTTTTGGTATGGTGAATGAGGAACCCCCCCCCTCCCCCTTCCTTTGTCCATTCAAGCAACAACTTGAACCCGTGCCTCGTTAAGATCACATTGGCAGGCCGGGATATTAATTGAGTCGAGCTATTTGTGTTTGGTTCAGATAAAATTTAATTTGAATTCGACTTGTGTTTTAAACGAGTTGAACTTAAATAATTTTTTAGACTCGTTTAAAAAAATGAATATAAAAAAGTTCAACTGAAACGCGCAAAATTTAGTTCGTTTATATGTAAAATAGTTGAGTCAGTCCGGTTTGACTCGAATTTGGCTTAGGCTTAAAATTGGCTTGAGTTCTACACGAATTAAATTTGAACAATTTTTTAAATTCATTTAGAAAAATAAGATCGCTAGACTCGAGTTTACGCTCGACTCAATTAACTCCTGTATCGATAGGTTGTTTCGACAACATTAAAGGACAAAATCGATCAATTTTGCTCTAATTATTAAGAAAAAAATGTCACCAAAAGCCTATAGAATGGGAGCCATGATGGACATCATCTTTTCATTTGGGTGAAGTTTTTCTAAACACAAAACGCAGGATGAAAATTACGTCCTCAGCACACAATTCCCTTTATGCAATTTTGTTGGGTAGAACTTTACCCTCCAACGTTTGATTTGAACGTTACCAAGTTCGATCTAGCTTCATTGATCAGAGTTTTCTCATCTGATTTCACCACCAGCACCAAACTCAGTCGATGGAACTGTGATCATTTATATGTGTCAGTGAATTTGGGTCGTTCAATTCTTAGGAAGAAGAAGGACCATTATAAATGAAAGGATAAGCGACCAAAGTTTTGAGCCTAGAAAATGGACCCAAAATTCCAAGATACCCACCACAAGCCTTATTCCTCAAGAGAAAATTTTAAATATAATAAAAATATCATATTATTATTGACACGTGACGGTATAAATTGTCTAAAACTAACGCCCCTACTTAATACTAGGGGCGGAGTCAGGAATGCATTGTAACGAGACAAACTCTAAACATAATAAGACAAATATTATAATGCATGTACTTTAAAATTTTAATGAATTGTAATTATTAAATTAATTTTTTATTTTATTTATTTATAATTTTTTAATTAAATAGTGACATCACAGAATAATGATGAGCTAGATCAGGTCATCGCCGCGTAGCTTTTTACAAACGCTATGACACAGCGTTCCTACAACGCCCCCAAAGGAAAAAAAAAAACATTATAAAATGCCCAAACGGGATCTCTGATGCTTCCCTCTACTTCTTTTCAAAATCTCTCTCTTGTCGCTGTACATTCTGCAACTTTTCTAGGGTTCTTTCTTAAGGGTTTATCAGTGGTCACTTTACTAAGGTATGTCCCTCCATTCTCACTATTTAACTCTCTAAACACGTTTTTCAATCTTTGTTTATGATTATAATGTTCAAATGGTTACGCTCAATACGCTCACTTTTTTTTTTTGGTGGTTAAATTGATCCATAGGTAGCTTCAATGTCTACATTTGGCGCTTCATCTTCGGCGAACTTAAATCCAAACAAGTCTGTTGAGGTGACAATTGCTTCAAATTCTGTCTAGTTTTCCTATGGTGTTTGAATTTGCAGGGAATATGAAGAAAGTTTGAGGATTCGTGATACGTGATTGTTGATTTCTGCCTGTGTGTATTGTTATATATCTTCATTTGTCTGTGTACTCCATTTTTACATTCATGTGGTGCTATTTTATCTTAATCTGGTGCTTCATATAGTGGAATGTAATTTTTTAAGTGATTAACTATGTAAGTTTCTTTGGTATATAGGTGGTACAACCTCCCAGTGATTCTGTGTCGAGCCTTAGTTTCAGTCCCAAGGCCAATGTGCTAGTTGCAACTTCTTGGGATAACCAGGTCAGTTTTTCCAATTTGGTTTTGTGTTTCTTCTGTTTGATTGCTTCATGATAATAAGATTATTGGAGATGTATGGGTACATACTAGAATTTGTTTGTGCTTTGCTCTGTTTTGTTGATTAGGTTATCAACCCAGACTAAAGTTCTTGAACCTGTTAGTTTAGTTGTTTGGACATGGGAGTATAATTAGCTTCACTTTAACTGCACCTAAAACTTCAACAAGGCTAGTTTTGACCTTTCCAGATACTATAAGTAACTTATAGCAGAAGACGCAAAATCTAGTTTATTTGTAAGCTTTTGGCAACTAACAAAGCGTTTCTTCATATACAAAGATCAGGGAAAGGGGTTTTGGTGGAAATTGTTGTGTGAATTAGGGGTACATTGCTATTTAGTTTGTTGTTCTTTATGGCTGGTATACTATTTTTATTCATATTGCCAAAAACATTTCACAGGTACGATGTTGGGAGATAATGCGTAACGGGACTACTGTTGGCACTGTGCCCAAAGCATCAATATCACATGAACAGCCGGTAACCTATTAAAGATCCATTCCACTGGCAACCTAATTTTCTGTTTTTAAGTTTACATTTTGACAACTGATTTGTTGTAAATACTTTGAAGGTTCTATGCTCTACTTGGAAGGATGATGGCACAACTGTCTTCTCTGGAGGTTGTGACAAGCAAGTAAAGATGTGGCCGTTATTGTCTGGAGGACAACCGGTAACCGTGGCCATGCATGATGCTCCCATCCGGGAAATTGCTTGGATCCCAGAGATGAACCTCTTAGTCACAGGAAGCTGGGACAAGACTCTTAGGTAAGCATCAGTTTCTGTTCTTTTTAATATTTATGAAGGATCAGTAATGATGTTGTGAATGTTTTTTTGTTGATTCTATTTCATAGGGGGTGATAATATCCCATACATGAAACACGTCGCTTGATTTTATATTTTGTGATGGGAATTGCAGGCATTTGTATTTTGTCATTATTTTTTGTTGTCATCAACTCATCGTATTTCATTCTACTTGCCCTTGCCCTTGTTTTCATGAGAAAATTTTATGGATATAACCTACACTCACTTCACTCTGACTCCATGTTCTTGCTAAGCTGACAAGGACAAGGCAAGTTGGGGGCAATTTTTTTTTGCACTTTTAACCTTATCAGTTTATTCTATATTTAACTTTTAATTAATCGTGTCTTGAGTTTGGCAGTTTTGTTTCTGTGATGATTATTTTCTTTTCTATTATGTGCTAATCGTGCTGCAACCTATGTCTTATTTGCACTGTAGAGTTTTCTTTGCACTTGATTCAGTGTCTGTACAACCTTTTGTTCGCACACACATCTGAATGCTGAGACATTTATATTTATTTTTTTATTTGTTTTTCTTCTATTTTTCAGGTACTGGGATTTGAGACAGTCAAATCCAGCACATAGTCAACAGCTTCCTGATCGTTGCTATACACTTTCCGTAAGACATCCTCTGATGGTTGTTGGAACTGCAGATAGAAACCTTATAGTGTTCAACTTGCAGAATCCTCAGGTATCGAACAATGTTTAGAAGTAGGTTGTAGACTTGTTGAAATTTGTAACAGTAGTAGCCCAAAGAGCATTTCATATTGTTGGCCGGCAATATGGAATAAAAACTTCTGCGTATGGGAAGGCTGGACCAAATAATAACTTCAGATTTGAATGATAGGGGGTAGTGGGACTTTTATGCAACCTGGAAGTCAAGGCAAGCTGCTGAAAATTTAAATGCAAGGCTTCCCATTTATATCTTTTTTTTGGGATAAGTAGGCATTCTGAATTATCCTTTATGATTTGTACTCCTTACTATTCAACATTTCAAATGGCATTATAGACTTCTATATTAGATTTAGGACTGTGTCTTAAAGTTGGAAAATTTGGACCATAAGACTATTCTAAACCATCTAGGACACCTAATAGAAAAAAGTACTAGAAGTTGACCTTAAATGTGACCCATAGATTATAGCTGCTATCTGTGTCCAGTAATTATTGAAAAGACTAAAACTACTACCCCGGTTATCAAATTAGACTCCCTGGAATGATCGAACCAATACTTGGAATAGTTTGCACAACAAAGCTCTCTCGGATTGCTGAAGAACTTGAATTGCATCAGTATTCTCATGCATAACTCTGACTTCCTCGGCTTTAAAACCTTGGCTTCTCCATTCTTTTGTATTTTCCTCTAAAACTTCAACAAATCTTGCCTTTGCTTCCACAGCATTACAATTCTGTTCTAGATAATTCTAATTTGAAGAAACACTAAGTTTTTATTGATATCCACAAACACAATATCAGTTCATCATAATGCAATACCCTGATGCATAGAAAAGTTAGGTTTATATTGATAAGCTGCAGCATTCTCCTAATTTTAGGAAACTTGGGCCTACGTAGTATTTTAGAGTATCGAGAACTCTTTATAAAACCCAAATAACATAATTTGACATAAACATGACCCATTTACTTTGGCTAATACCCATGCCCAACAATTATTGAAAATAACTGACAAGCCATTAACACCTAAACTCTCTTAACACAAGAATAAAAAGGTTCTGCTGCATGTTGACCTAAATCTAATGTCACATATGACTCAAATTTGATTCAAAACTTCATGCCACATGCTCCAAACATCGCACATGTGAAATTTATTAATTGCCTCCATTCTTCTTGACCACATGCTTTGCATCGGTTATTCTGGAACTTAATTAGGCTTTTATTGTGAACAAGATACAATATAACTTACATAATGTCAAGAAGTTGGATCTCTCTCCAATTGATGATGCATGAATGCTTTTTTATTCATTGGGATGGCCATTGGTCATGAAATCCCATGCACAGCACTGTAGTGTATTGTTTCTCATGGTCAGACCATTAAGGTGGCTTTGGTCTATTTTATCGGTTATCTCCAATATATAGGGAATGACAAGCTTAGTCTAGGCTCACACTCCTATGACCTTTAATTCTTTTCTTTTTTTTTTTTTCCCCTTTTCAAACTTACTCCAGGCTTAAATTCCATCATTCAAATGGTAACACACATAGTTTAAAGTTACTGGCTTTTTATTCCTTATTTCAATTTGAATAACATGGATTATGTTAAGCATTTTTTGAATCCAATTAGACTGAGTTCAAGAGAATTGCGTCACCCCTCAAGTACCAGACAAGATGTGTTGCGTCGTTTCCTGATCAGCAAGGTTTCTTGGTGAGTTATTCACTTTCATTGTATTTAACTTTTTTCTGGTCTTTGGATTTGTTCTCATTCTGTACCTTCTTGCCACCACCATGCTTCTACAGTTGACTGTAAAGATGAACCTAGTGAGAGGTTATATCCCTGACTGTAAAAGTAGCATACATTGCATAGGTGTTAAATGGAAACTTCTCTGCTCCATTAAATTAAAAACATGAATTGTTGCATGAAATCGAAATTGTTGGGTAGGGAATGGAACGATCAGATTTGATTGGTATCGTAGTCTGGCGACTGGGTTAGATGCTAGAGAATCCTCAGAAATTCAGTTTCATTTGCTGCTTTCAGTAAACATTGGCATTTGAATGTTTACAATCCGTATGAAAAAAATCCAAGAGTTTGGAAGTTAGGGAACTTCAAAGTTATCATTTCAGACTCTTTTTACATAGAGTTAATCTGTCTTATTTAGAATATGTGAGTTAGTACTTGTTGCATGGTATGTCATTTCTTTTCTGATCATTATTTTTTAAGTGTCCAATTAATAAGTGATTATCATGTCTTTTCTTATCTTTGTTTCTATTAGAGTTCAATTAATTATTATCTAATTCCAAACCATCAGAAAATCGAGATATTAGTTTTCTTTTAGTGCTTTGGTGTCTTGAGAAATGATCGTGTAAGATTTAGGTATGCTTATGGGGTATGATCATCAGTTGGCTTCATGTATTTGCTGTTAACTTCAAACATCCATGGAATATTTATACCATCTAACGTGCACTCTGAAGTTTATCAAACCAAACATTGAGACAAAAAACATATTGCATGGTATTCCCGATATGTCTGCAAATAAAGTTTGCCAGTATGTTAAATGCAAATTAGAAGAACAGACTGAAAAGCTCTTGACATAGAGTACGATTGGGCACAAGTGGTGAAGCTGGAGCGATTTGTGCTTCTATATTATTACGTGAGAGATTGGAATGAATTGAAGAATACCAGGAAGAAAAGATTCCTATTTAATAGTTAGAGGAGGAAAATGGGAAATTATAATGAAACAATCAATTTCATGATTAATTCTGGTTACTGTAGAAATATGCAGAAGCTTGGAGATCTAAAATTGAATTTTGCTTCAGAATTTACTTTTATTATTCAGCTGAGAAGCTTTTTTTTTTTTGGCCGCAAGGATTTACTTTGGGATAATAGAAATGGTGGGGAAATGGTTGCTAGTAATATTCCTTATAGTAGCCATTCATGCCGTATCTGCAATGGTTGGGGTAGTGTAAGAAGTTTTTGCAAAGGCTGCTGCTTGCCATTTACCTACTTGAGCATTTAACGGCGCCTCACCTGTTTCCTCCCAGTTCTAAATTACTAATTAGCTGGCTTTATGAATTGAGGTAACAGATGTTGCATGAATGTTTGAGGGAGGTAGTTTATTTTTGGATACTTGACAGAAATATACATGTCAGAGAACTGAAGAAGTTGACTTTCTGGACCTTTTTGACCATGAAGAGTTTGAGTGAATGTATCCTGTAGAGGTCAAAACAGAGTTTGTATCCAACGGTATGATTTTTGCTGTTAGCATAAGTTCTGTTTGACACAAAGTTTCCATGTGTAGCTGGCTGTAGATGAGTTTTGTTTGATACCTCTGTATGTTTATGGTCATTAATTCGGCAATATTATCCAATTTCTTTTTAAGCTATTATCTCTTAGTTTATCTGATGCTATTTTTTTTTTCTTGTTGTATCTGACAGCATTCTCTTTAGATTTCTAATTCATATTTTTTACTTGCGATGTGAAATTTTTTTTTTTTAACATATTCAATGTCCTTGCATTTACAAAATGTGGTTTTATAGTTCACTTTCTTTATTTTTCTTTGTATAGATTGGCTCAATTGAAGGTAGGGTTGGTGTACATCACCTTGATGATTCACAACANTAGTTCACTTTCTTTATTTTTCTTTGTATAGATTGGCTCAATTGAAGGTAGGGTTGGTGTACATCACCTTGATGATTCACAACAAAGTAAGAACTTTACTTTTAAATGCCACAGAGAGGGCAATGAGATATACTCAGTCAACTCGCTGAGTTTTCATCCGGTAAGATTTTATTTTGGTGTTAACTTATTTTTTGGATACCTCTTGATATAAGAAATATTGTCTTCTAAGATTTTTATGCCGCTGAACCTGTTCAGTTTATGTCCCTGAACAAGATTGCTAGTTAGCTTCTGACAGTGCAATCATATCATGATTTATGTACTTATGCTTTCCGTATTGTTGACTTTACTAAAATCAATTCAGTACCCCAACCTGAGTAATTAAATTGCATCATAGTCATGTGATTTGCTCTTTGGTTTTGTTAGGGATTACAGATGACCCGATCAACTTCATTCGTAATTAGTGAATTTTCTGACAGCTCATTTCAATGCTTATAAAAAATTGGAATATTTTCTCCATTTTGTTGTAATATATTTCGTCAACAAGGTATATATATGGTGACGTTATGCTTTTTCTAACCCATTATAGGGTTTCGTCCCTACTACTGCGATTCGCTAACTCGAAGTGCCTCGCTATGAGAATCTAGCTTCGGTAACGCTCGGCTAAGTCTTGAACCTTCACGCTGACCGTTCGCTTTGTCAATAGCAAAGGCGCTTCTCTTTGCCCCTTAAGTAGAAGGACAAGAAAAGGGATTATTGGTTCTCTTGCTCCCTCTTCCTATTTAGGGTGTTAAGGCGAAAAATGTCTTGATGAGCGCAGATGATTTCTCATTTCAATGGGCATCCATGAGAAAGTCCCTGAGCTGTGATCTTGTGATGCCCTATATGAGTTTCTAGGTTGTATTGAATCATGATCTCCACCAAATAATGAGTTAGTTGCCTAATATTAACCTATGAGGTCAAACCCTGATATTCTTTTTGGTCGCCTTCATGCTCGGTGTGAACACATACAAGATCCCCCAAAGACATATCATCAATGCTTCTACAAAAAGAAAGTTTGCTGAACTCTGAAACCGAACAACTTTTTAACCTGTTGCTGCGTTTACTTCCTGTATTGTTTTGGTTTTACCAGGAGGAAGCTCATCACCTCACATTTCCCGTCACGCACAATTGTACCCGCTGGGTGTGTGTTCTTACAATCAAAAAGTGGCATTTTACATGATAGAACTCCATTATTCTTTCAAAATGATATTTATTACCCAGTAGGACAATGAAGCTCTTCTGCATATATTATTTAGATCTTGGATATAGCATCTTCATTGGATCAATGATTATTGGCCTTGTCTAGTTTTCAATTTCCCCACCTGTTTTTTATTGGAGTTTTTTTCCAATATGTTTTCTTCTAAAAACTTGGATATTGTGTCAAGATGATGTAAAGATTTTGTGATTAGTGCAGACGATTGTTTTGGATTGATTACATCCTGGAACGAATCTTTTGGAGAGACCTATTTGATACTTTCATCAATGCTACTTGATATTGTGGTATGCATATCTGTATGAATGTGCCAGACCTTAGTCTTCTTTTCCTCAGATGCATCACACATTTGTAACTGCGGGATCAGATGGTGCTTTCAATTTTTGGGACAAAGATAGCAAGCAAAGACTGAAGGTTGTTACCTGCTGTTTTTTTATTTTGTGAATTATTGTTTTACATGTTAATTGTTAAGTGCCTTTGTTTTTTTTTTTTGGCGAATCATCTTTAAATTTCTGACAGTGTGCTTTGAAGATGATAAAATGTGCCAGCGAGGCTGATTGTATCAAATTTGCAATACTCAACACAGCAAAACCTTGTTCCAACATTTTTATGGTCTATTGCATGAATCTTGTTTTGTCATTGTGGGTCATGCTTTCTGTGAAACAAGAAATAGCCAGTTAAATTAAATCAAATCACACATATGCACATGCTACTTATGTCAAGTCTTCTGTTCTTCTATTTCTTTCGGTTGGTGATTTATTGTAAATGCATGCTTTGTTTGATTTTATAAGTTGGGAACATAATTTGTTCGTATGGATGTTTGAAGTTACCTTTCTTGGGCCATTAAAACGTGTTTACAATAGTTGAATGTTTTTGTCATTTTGGGAGCTTAACCTGTGACTTGGGGTGGACATCAAATTTAAGATTTCAAGTTCTGTGATATCAGCACACCATCTTGATAGATACTAATTTTTTTCCTTGCATGCAGACAGCATTTTGGTGGTTTTGCCTTCTCAGATAGTAGATCATTGTACTATTCAGACACACTCTCCCCTCTGTCTGATTCCCAAATTCTGCATTAGCGCTCACATTTCCTTTTTATAACAGATAACACTTAAAACAGTAAAAGTTCTGGAAGTGTATTAACTGCACCACTTGCTAATATATGCTATCATGTTTCTTCATTTCACTTTTCTAGTTTTTGTTTGTCTGATTTATATTCATGTTACGTCAAGATGCTGTGCATCATAGACCATCTTGATTTTTACATTTCATTTCTCTAATTTTTGTTTGTCTGGTTGTTATCCAGGCTATGTCAAGATGCAGTCAACCTATACCTTGCAGTACCTTCAACAATGATGGCTCAATATTTGCATATGCTGTATGTCATGGGTTTATTTGATGCTATGAACCTTGTATCATTGGGCACACTCACACGTGCCTCCTATGTTCTTGTTTCTTTTTTGTGTCTGGCTAACATTTGCTTTGGTTGTAGGTTTGTTATGATTGGAGTAAGGGTGCAGAAAATCACAATCCATCAACAGCAAAGACCAATATTTTCTTGCACTTACCACAGGTAGAGTTACTTGTCTGTGCGATGATCATTGTTGTTTCTAGATCTTTCTTTTTCATTTCAAACTTCATAGTCTATTCTGTGTATGAGCACAATTCTATTTGCAATTTGCTCATTTGATGCAGGAGTCTGACGTTAAAGGCAAACCTCGTATTGGTAATAGTGGTAGAAAGTGAAGCTGCTTGTGGTTGTGGCAAAGAACAGTGTGTGCTTTTTTGTTCATGGGAAACTTCTTATTTTCTGTTCTGACTACTCTTTTTTTCCGGCTGTGTTCACTTGTGATTACCCCATTAACAAAACTGGATCTTGCCATCAGAGTTTTGANAAACTTCTTATTTTCTGTTCTGACTACTCTTTTTTTCCGGCTGTGTTCACTTGTGATTACCCCATTAACAAAACTGGATCTTGCCATCAGAGTTTTGATGTTGTTGGTTTTTGGTCAACTTTTAAATTCCCCTTTAACTACCCAAAAAAAAATAAAAGAACACTTAAAAGTTCTTATCTATTGATAGTGTTTTCCTTCGAGGCCCCTATCCATGTCGTGGCGTTTTAGNGATGTTGTTGGTTTTTGGTCAACTTTTAAATTCCCCTTTAACTACCCAAAAAAAAAATAAAAGAACACTTAAAAGTTCTTATCTATTGATAGTGTTTTCCTTCGAGGCCCCTATCCATGTCGTGGCGTTTTAGCTCGATGATCATCACCGACTTAACAAAGTGAAGGGTTTCATTTTACAATTGGTGGATTTCAATGCCATCTTCTGTTCGAGTATTTGATGCTCCGGTTCAGATTCTTCGTAGAAATGCAAGAGTGACTCCTGTATTATTGGCTACTAANTTCATTTTACAATTGGTGGATTTCAATGCCATCTTCTGTTCGAGTATTTGATGCTCTGGTTCAGATTCTTCGTAGAAATGCAAGAGTGACTACTGTATTATTGGCTACTGANTTCGAGTATTTGATGCTCCGGTTCAGATTCTTCGTAGAAATGCAAGAGTGACTCCTGTATTATTGGCTACTAAAAGGGATTAATGTTTTTATTCTACCTAATGATTCAGTTCAAGAGTTCCTTTCCTATGTCTCCTTTAGAGTTATGGTTGATATAATTTTATGCAGTTTACCTAAAGTACTGTATTTTTGGGTTGTTTCATTTTATTTGTACAGTGACTTCTAAATTATTACTATATCTATATCACTGTTTTACCTGAAAATGCAGGTCTTACATCATGCTTTTTAATATAAAAGTGTATTTTCAAACCTTCGTATTCCAGGAGTGTGTTGCAAACACGTTTTTATTTTTGAAATGTGAATTTAAATAATATGTTAAATTACACTCACCCCCCCTCACATTTGATTTTTATAACATGGACACCCTCTTATGTTTAAAAAATTACACTAAGACTCCAATAATTAGATAGAGTTAACTATCTTAATAAAAAGATCATTTTGCCCCTCTATTTAACACAAACTTAAACTAAAATCCCAAGCCTTATCCCCAACTCTATTCTTCACCGTCATCTATACAATGCNTTTTGCCCCTCTATTTAACACAAACTTAAACTAAAATCCCAAGCCTTATCCCCAACCCTATTCTTCACCGTCATCTATACAATGCTCTCTCTCTCTCTCTCTAGCTTGAAATCATTGGTCTTTTCTCTCTCCCTCACTCACTTTTTCTCTGTGTGTGCATATATATATACACACTAGCCCAAAATTGCAAAAGAATCGGTGAAAATTTTCAGCCCTCCCCAAACACTATGACACCTTCTAGTAGCCATCCTATCCAAAACGTTAATCCCACCCAAACAAAGAATGTCAAGAGAGAGAAATCAAAAGGATCCAAAGCTTAAAAATATGACAAATGAAAATGACAACAATGATTTTTGAGGTTTGATTTTGGTAGTGGTGGTTGTTGGGTTGTGTGGTTGAGAAGGTGGAAATGGAGGTCCTCCTCTTCTTACACTACCCCAAAAAATAGCCTGGTACCACCACCACATACACATGTGTGGTTGTGGAGCTGAAAATGGAGATGGAGGTGTTACTAGGCAGGGGTAGTGCTCTATGTATGCGTGTGGNGGTGGTGGTGTATGTGTTGTGTGGTTGTGGAGCTGAAAATGGAGATGGAGGTGTTACTAGGCAGGGGTAGTGCTCTATGTATGCGTGTGGAGAGAGAGAGGAGGAAGAGGAGATGGTGGTGGTTTTCGTGGTATGGAGGCGACGATGGGGGGTGGTTAATTGTGATGGTGGTAATAGTAAATTTGGGGCAAATCTGATTGATAAATGGAATTTACATTAATATGTTATATAATAAACAAAAAATTCTAGTATTTAACTTATTAATTTGATAGCTTATGATATATAAAATAGAGAAATGATAAATGAGAGATGAAATAAATTCTAGGGGTAAGAAGGAAGAATAAATATTTGAATTTTTAATCTTAATTTTGAAGGGTATTTTTGGTCTTCTATAAATTATTATTGATGATATCAGCTTTGATCGTAAACCATTCTAACATTTGTTAGTTGGAGGAGGTGTGATTGTTATAAGTTTTAAATGTCCAGATAGTTGTGTAATTTTTGAAACGTGAGAACGTGTCCGTGTAATAAAACCAAATTTAAGAGGNCTAATAAATCCAAAATAATTTAATTTTGCGAGACCCACGGAATAACAAACAAATCGATCTTTATAAATTTTATCATAAATATGAAATACTCGCAAAAGAAAAGAAATGTGAGACACTCATCGTTTATCTGCACTTGTACCTATCCAGACTCAGAGGAAGCCAAAAAAAAAACCTNATCTTTATAAATTTTATCATAAATATGAAATACTCGCAAAAGAAAAGAAATGTGAGACACTCGTCGTTTATCTGCACTTGTACCTATCCAGACTCAGAGGAAGCCAAAAAAAAAACCTACAAGGCACTCGGGATAAAACAAAGATTTATGACTTATGAAATGTTTTCAGGTAACAATTGTAGTTATTCTTGTACAATCCCTCACTATCTGAATACATAAAGGGGAAGAAATAAAAGTACAGAGGTGCTTCCACAGTTCCACAGCCTTTCCTGCTGTGTTTCTATTTGCACCTAAAAATTCAAAACGCCACCTGCAACCTATAGACATTCCAGCACCATCAAATTCCGACAAATGATACAAAATGGACTCCAGAAAAAATATGAAAAAAAAACTATTTTAAAAAAAAAAAGGAAGGGAAGAAGTTCATATACACAATGATGATAAAATTCAATTCCAAACACATCCTCGGACTCCATGAAATTGGTGTATGTGTGCCTATAACAGAAACCATTAAAGGATCATCTTGGACCAGACAATTCATCAGCGTGGAGATTGGAAGTGGAATCATCAATTATCCAGCCACTATTTGGGTGGTGAGTGTGATTAATCTCTTGGGGGAACATCTCCTCCTTCTGCCACTCTTCCCACCTCTCCGCCAAGCCATCACCTTCAAGCATCCTGACAACATCTGACATCTTGGGACGTTCCATCGCGTTTGTCTGTGTGCAGAGCAGGGCTACCTGGATTAGCTGCTCCACCTCTTCGTCAACATAATTACCCTGAAGATCTGCATCGACCAGTGTTTCTAACTTCTTTTCCTTCAGAAGTCCCTTTACCTGAAATTTTAAAGACAGTTTATGCCACAGTGAATGAAAGAAGTCCATATAATGGATATTCTCATTAATACCAGTCACATCTATTGAGAATTTTCCTATAAGCAAAAGCCAAATTGGATTTGAAGAGAATATGGAGGTCCCTGTGCAATCTCTAGATGAGAACACAATTACCTGCTTACTTTTCTAGTTTGAAGCCATCTCGCACGTAATTTTCTACTACGTGACCAAGGTTGTCAAAAGGTATTGATGAAGGCAAAACTTGAGTTTTTAATAAGGGGTGCTAACGCCCTATATATAGTAAGGGGCCTTTTCAACAAGGTTCATGCTTTTTGGCTTCCCTAAATCGAGAATTTGGAAGTTGGTAAAGACCCGCCCCTTGTTTCAGAATGAGTCCCCAAGTCTCGGGACATTGTCTTCCACCACCAATGAACTATTAAGGATCACATCTTGCGCATATTCTACACTATAGTTTGCACCTAATTCAGCTTCCACTTCTGGGAGATCAAACGGAGGTCGATTAGTTTCTGCTAGACAATAAATAAATAACCACCCCCGGGCTTTCTCGACCGAGTGTTGCACGGGCAACATTCGTAACTTAATGTTATGTTCACACGGTGATATTCTATCTTTCCAAGAGTACTATCCTGTACGAAACCTGTNATTCAGCTTCCACTTCTGGGAGATCAAACGGAGGTCGATTAGTTTCTGCTAGACAAGAAATAAATAACAACCCCCAGGCTTTCTCGACCGAGTGTAGCACTGGCAACATTCGTAACTTAATGTTATGTTCACACGGTGATATTCTATCTTTCCAAGAGTACTATCCTGTACGAAACCTATGTCAAATATTTACTTTGAAGAGAAGCATCATGGTTGCAGAGGACGAAAAGTGACCAAATGAATTTATTTTTTCTTTTTTACGGTCTATTTCTAAAAACATCCAACTTTTTTAGGCTAGAAGAGACAAAAGTGGAAAATGAGAGGTAAAAGTATTTAGGCAATTTATTTTATATAGCTTCATTTATATTGCAGTAGATAGAATATTGCACACAAAAACAAAAAAAACAAAAAAAAAAAGGGAAAAATTGCTATTTTCATCTGCTTTCCACATTAATGAATTCAGACAAGATCACATGAAAGCCATCNAAAATGAGAGGTAAAAGTATTTAGGCAATTTATTTTATATAGCTTCATTTATATTGCAGTAGATAGAATATTGCACACAAAAACAAAAAAAAAGGGGGAAAAATTGCTATTTTCATCTGCTTTCCACATTAATGAATTCAAACAAGATCACATGAAAGCCAACTCAATATGCACATAGAAGTGGTCCACGTAAGTAATATACGAATGTGACATATGTATGAGGGTGATAAATGCTTACCCAATCAAGCAACATGACATCATCATCATTGGCAAGCCGAGCAAGGTCGAAAGCCCTCTGCCCCGTGATGAGTTCAAGAAGCATGACCCCATACCCGAAAACATCAGTCTTCTCGGAAGACTTTCCTGTGGAAAGGTACTCAGGAGCAATATGCCCAATAGTTCCACGTACAGCAGTGGTAACATGAGTATCCTTGTAGTCCATGAGTTTGGCCAGTCCGAAGTCCCCAACAACTGCTTCAAACTCCTCATCCAATAATATGTTTGCAGCTTTGACATCACGGTGAATTATCTTAGGGTCACAATGATCGTGCAAATAAGCAAGGCCCCTTGCAGCTCCCAGTGCAATATGCTTCCTTATTGACCAATCAAGTGGTGGCTGCGATTCACCTCGCTCTAGAGTAATGCAAAAATTAGCTCATGAGATACCACAGCAGATGTTAAAAGCACAGTTGAGAATGGGTCCTAAGATTTTGGTTTTCAAATATTTCTACATTGTTTTAGGATTTTAGTTAATCAGAGGAGTGGAAAATCAGATATCAGACAAATTTGATATATTTTTAGGCAAATTCTCACATATATAGACAAATTTAAGATTTGCTTTCCATTTTCACTGTTGGAATGCCTTTTTCTCAACATTTGTGATCTAAAAGTTCTGTTAGGTGTTGAGAGGTAAAGTGACTCATAAATTTGGCAATGGGTATGCAAATAAAGCAGATAGCCTCAACGTAAGCAAATCACTTAAATATTATGAATAATAAAACAATTAACAAGATAAAACATCCAGCAACAGTTTACCTCTTAAACATGATGCAACACTTCCATTAACCATAAATGGGTAAACAAGCACCCGTTCAGTTGGTGTCATGCAAAAACCACGTAAACGAAGTAGATTTCGATGCACGGCCATGCTAATCATTTCTACTTCTGTTTGGAACTGCAACTCCCCACCTTGAGTACGCTCCTCTTTTAGCCGTTTTACTGCCACCAGAGAGCCATCAGCCAAGCGGCCTTTGTAAACCTTTCCAAACCCACCTCTGCCAAGAATATTTTTATTGCTAAAATGATCAGTTGCAACTTGTAGTTCACGCAAAGAAAACCTCTTGAGCTGTCCTAGATGAACTTCTGGATCCTCTTCGGCTACAAAATAAGTAAATGAGTGAGAATGAATTATATAGGACACTAAAATGAATTGCATAAGCCCTTTCCATTAAGAACCACTTACCCGGAACATCAAAGAAATGATCCTCTGGTTTCCTTCGCCGCCACAAAGCAAGCGCAATTGCGGGGGCGGCAAACAGCAGAGCAGCACCAGCAGCAACTCCTCCAGCAATTGCTCCAGTGGCACTGTTGCCCACTAGAATGACAGTTCACAAACACCAACTCAATATGCCGATTAGTTTTTGTCCATTCCGATTATTAATGAAATTTTACAATAAGTTTATGGCTTTTTTGCATTCCAATAATCAAAGTATTTTTCTCAGGAATCAACCCCTAGTGGATGTAACAAAGGAATGATTACAACAACATAGTAACAGTATCAGGTCAAGTAAAAAAAAATTAGGCTGATTGTAAAACAACTAAACAGTGATGAAGTGAAATTAAGTCCAGAACAAATAGTTTAGAAAGGAAAGCAGAGAATTTCTTTCAAGGAAAAATGTTATTCATCATGCATAATAGACAGTTGGTGAAAGCAAAGAAGTACCAATGATGGCCAAGGACTCTGATGCAAATGCAATTTTTTTTTCTATAGTTGTCATTGCAGTTGCTTTGAAAAACCCATTTATGATGTTTCTTCAAGCATAAGTTCAGTAAGTAACATAAAAAAGAGTTACAAGAACAAGTGAATAAAAAGTCAGCCAAGTCTTCCACAGCAAAAATTGTAGGCAACATGCAAAGAAACTTTCAAGTATAAAAGAGGAGCTAAAAATGTAGGGGAAACACAGCAAAATCCAACATTTCCTACAATTTAGGCATGCAAATCATAGTACAAAGTATCTAAACAAACCTGAAGAAGAAGATGGTGGTGTTGGAGTAGCAGGAGGTGGTGGCAAAACTGGAGGAGGGTCCAACTGATTATTAGCAAAACTGAATGGGAACTTGGAAGTCAGAATAACATCTTATGGGTCAACCAAGTCTACCATGGATAAAAGATATAACTTGTAACATACCTGATAGGAGTGAAAAGTTGAAAGGAGCCATTGACTGGAGTTGGTCCTGTCAAACGGTTGTTTGACAGATCACTGCCTTCCACATGCCAGCCAACACAGCATAATGTCATATTCTCATAACACAATAATCTCCGTAAAAATAACCCACAAAGGAAAATAATTTTATATTTGAATAAGCCATCAACTCCCTACTTACAGAACTTGAAGTGAATTCACCGTGGTTAAAGACATAGGAATATTTCCCACCAAACTGTTGTTGTTAAGCCGACTATTCTTGCAGAGACAGCACATAGAACAGACACAATTAGATTCAAAAAATCACAGCTTCTGGCAAATATTACATTCCATACAGTCAAAACATTCATCCATCAACAAAATTGCAAAGAACACAATTCATCCACAATTTAAAAGCAAAAGCTCATAACTAAGAAAAATATAACTAACAGCGCTCGTTTTGGATTGCCAGCAATTTTTAGGACAATTTTTCCCTATCTGGATTACAGAACTTCAGATGACTCAGGCCATCAACAGGGGATGCATAGGTCGCTGTTACCATGGTTGTTTATGCCCAAAAGGGTGCCTGGTTTCACATGGAAGATGAGGTATTTAAAGTTGCACTAAATTTTACTTTGAATTCTGGTATGTAAAGAATCCATTCCCAAAATTTTCCAGCCAATGGTTACTATAAAAAAAGACCGCACACATTATGTACCTGAGCAACAGTTTCAATGCTAAGAGATGCAAGCATCAAGGAGAGTGGAACTCATGCAACTTAAGAACCACCCAACCCCCTGGGGGCGGGGTGGGGGGATGATAGAGAGAAATACAGACAGAAAAATGTCCGCATACATATATATATATCAATATTGCAAGGAGGAGGCAAAGAAGAGAAGTATTCTGAGTTGTATCTACGTAGAAAGACAAGAGCAACTGAAAAAATGAAGAGGAGCAACGGTTTTTTTTTTTTTTTTGGGGGGGGGGGGAGAGAACACTTCTAGAGGTTCTACCACACTTAAAAAAATCCAATTTATAGGCTTCATAGGACTCTAAAAAGACATAAAAATAAGCTATAAGTGATTGTACACCATAGGAGGAATGGAGGACAAAAGAAGTTTCAAATCTGTTTCTGAAAACAACTAGAACTACATTAATGTTGTTCAAAGAAATTTCCTACATCAATTGACAAATTATCTTCTATCAGGTCCTGCATAAACTTTGTGTATAAAACCCCCACTAGTCGAAGAGCTCAATCACGACTTTGCAATTCTTGTTAAAACTGAGAATCCAATTTGTAAATTTTAAAATTAACAGATTGTTTATGATAAATAGCTTTCAGTATAAGCATTCGATGGAAAAGACAATAGGAAAAATATTCGTCAAGTATTTAGCGTCAACCATAATTTCACTTAAATGTTGGTATGTACATAAATTACTGAGGAGACAGAGAGAACAAATCAAAAGAAACAGAAAATGTCAAAAGTTGTAAGAGACATACACAAAGAGAGATACATAAAGAAGCAAGGATAACTGAAATTTAAGCAAGCAGTTAAGACTTTGTCTTTGGATAAAGATAACAGAACAAATTGAAACACAAGAGATATCAAAAACCAAATAAACAAAAAAAAATTTTAAAAAAAAAAAGAAGAGAGGAGAGAAAAAGAGCAACTTTTCTTAACTTTCTTACATATTAATCATATCCAAGGATAATCCAGCTTTGTAGCAATAAAGGAAATTTATAGACATGAAAAACAGCTAATCACAACCAACCGCACATGACAACAGACAAAGCCTCGAGTTTCAATCACAAGACAGCTCAAATTTTTAAAATCATGAAGATCAGAGAAATATCCGTTATAAAAAGATTCCAATGAGATTAGCAATAATATGTACGAACTGATAGATCATACTCTACTGGATCTTGCATCCACAATGTGCATCCTCTTTGAAACTATGGTTCTATCGTCCTTTTCATCACACTTTTAAGAAGGAAAGTAGGAGAACTTGTATGAAGTGCGAAGGTCACAAAAAGAAGATTGCTTCCCACTATATACTTGCATTACGTCAAGAAATTCATGTAATCAAAAACTAAATGTCAAAGTTTCAAGATCTAATAAAAATTGTCATTGTTGCTTTTATTGTCATTGTTGTTGACCGAGAGATTCAATTATCATAAACAAGTGGATCTCATCATAACCCTGTAACTAGAAACATCAGCTTCTTCACAGCCAAATAAAGTTGGTTGCCAAAAATAACAGCAACAGATGACAGCCACCCGAAACTTTTGGAGCCTTTTGGTTTCTCAATGAGATGGCGAAGATTAGAGGCTAAGGACCACAGTTGTACAAAGTTGATAACTTCATATTTTTTTTCCTTTGACAACTTCTGAATCCATAGAAACAACTGTTTACTCTGACAGCATGATTTATTAAACAACTTCTAATTCCTCATTTTGATAAGTTTGACAGGCTACTTTTCATGCAAGGGGGCAAAAAAAATTTTAGTCACCAACAAATATCGTAATTGCCATCATTTTAATGATATATGCTAGCCATCAGATTGTATGTATTGGGATATCTACGTCTTCAAACAACACAAAAATGGCTTAGATCATGGAGTGGTGTTTGTTATATCACATATAACACAAGATAGCTGTCAGATTGTATTTGAACTTGGAATATATTTGGACAATTAGGATTTCAGTCAACATAAAGTTGACTTAGAACTTGGGTGGTATATTATATCTCAACTAATTGATCCCATGTTAAAAACTAGTCTTTTGGTTACCGACCAGAAAATATTCACATGAAACAAAACTTTGAGATTGAAGTAGAACAAGGAAATCTAATTAGTGAACAAACAGTGTATCTCAAAAGGAAGAGTTTACACCAAAGTTTTTTGAACAGGAGTACCAAAGCATCACAATTGTAGTTCATCAGACATATGTGATAAAATCAGAAATAGTGGACAAGCATGGGTATGCCAACAAGGAGGATTCCTAAACTAGTTAGCTTCTTATCTTTTTGCACAAGTGCGGTTGAGCACCCTACCGCATGGTAGCAGTATATGTTATTAACAGTACCTCTAATCTACCAAAAGCCCCTCTAATAATAGCAGCTCAATCAACAATCAAGTAATTTGCTGAAATTTAGATGTGTTTCGGAAGTTTGTTTGCACGCGTGAAAGTTCTACTAAGAAAGGCAACAACCAATATACTTGTTACGAAGGTATCATACCTTTGGTACCCAGTCACACATTTAGCTAACCTTGGCTACATAGGAAACCAACATATATGGGCTCAATATTACCATGTCATGAAGGAGCTCCAATAATGTTTACAATGAATTTTCTAATTGAAATATGAGCAATGGCAACTAAATCTTGATTATATTTTCA